GGGAGAGAGAGAGAGGGAGGAAGAGGAGAAGGTCGGAAAAGATTTGCATCTTTTACTCAAAGTTCATACTCTCCTTAAAAAGTTGCAGAAAAACAAAAGTAAACGTCGATAACGTGCTGGCAAAAAGGTTTATGTCCTTTTCGAGGATGTTCCTGAGCATGATTTAAGCATCGCTGACAAAAATAACGCTTCTGATCATCTTCGTTCACTGGTTCCGGACGAGGTGTAAATGCGACAACATCAACTTCCGGAGTGGTGCATGACGAGTAGCCACCGGAACTACTGTTCCGACTGCTTCCTGGCGATGTACCTGAAATCGTAATGATAGCAACTAGTAAATGAATTCAATTATATCAATATTATCCATTCTTTTTAGAAATGAGTGAATAAAATGCAAAGATTTAAGTTCCGAATTTGATTTAAAATTTTTGAAATCTTTAACAAATTTAAAAGCTATCTAAAACGATCAAAATTCCAAATGACTGCTTCAAGTACCCATTTCAAATGTAAAGAAAATATCGCTTAATCTGAACTGAATCAGTCGTTACGGAATACCATAATCTGTATAATTTTATCGAATAAGTCAACAAATTCTATACAAAAAACAAAGAAAAAAATTGCAAGCAGTTAAAAATAATTCATTTGAATTCAAAAAACCTTTGCATTCATTTTGATTTCATTTTTATTTATAATTTATAAGATAACAAAGTACCTCGTTCGTTTTTTTTACTATCAATCAGTCATGGTACCTCTTCCAGCTACAGGCAAATTAAACAAAGGTGGAAAAGTAACGTCACCAAACAGGTACATCAGGTGTTCCATCCTTAACTTGGTTGTCTTGCTCGATTCTATTTAAAAAACTCTTTTTTTCCTGGTAGCTCAAACGGTCGCTACAATTGAAATGCGTTTCATTTCAGTTTATTCAGCTATTGGAAATTTCTCGTTAATGTTTTCTATATCGAATAGGAATGGAAAAAAAGTTTGAAATGAATAATTCAAAAATATGGCAGTGATTGTGAAGTATAATACGTTGTTTATATCATTTTTTTTCCACCCAATTGTCATGAAATAAGCAGAAGAATTCTCCATACTGTTTTAAATTTGGTGAAACCGTGCGAACGCACTTTTTCAATTTCAGAGGATGATATGAAATGCCAAATCTAATCTCACATTTCAGTGCAGTTGTGGTCATAGCAACGGGTAAAAAGACTTGACAAAGGAACCACTAGTGAAAAAAGTGAGATCTGTTGTGACAGATGTAAATCAACTTTGTCTTGAATTGGCCGATCATAAATTTTAAACACAAATGTCCTGCTGATATTTATGGATCACCTTATTTAACTCGAGAAAGCAAAAGCTTTTCAGCTATAGCTTTGGATATGCATGATTTATGAATGAACAAAAAATTCTTCTAGAAAGAGAAATTCGGTTTAATAACATTCCGTTATTTTGAGGAAAAAATTTAATTCATATTGCAAGTGAAATATTTTAAAAAAACTTAAATTAAATTTTTAAAAAAAATCCAAGATCAACCAGTGTTAAAGTGATATAAAATTTGAAATTTCATTCCCAATTTTATAATAAAACTTTTATTAAATTAAAGTTATGGTTTGTTCTGAATTATTCAATTTTATGCATTTGAAAATCGATATCTCAGACATGTATATATACAAATTAAGATTGCTAGTCTATTGTTTTAGGGATCATTATTGAAATGGATAGCTGAAGTACGGACGATAATAAAAACAAATCACTTATAAAATTAAATATGTGATTTTATGTTGGATGCAACAACTTCATTCTCATATTTCCCCTGAGAAGGTTTCTTTATTCTTCTAAAATTTTCTTTGAAGATCTTTAAAATGCGTAGTTGTAGTTAGAACATGAAAAAATTAATCTAAAAAAGTGGTAACGAATAATGAAATCCGAAGATACTCCATATGTTTATATCAGTCGTGTGGAACTACTTACCACACGAATTCGAAATAATACTAGATTGAATTCTGAAAAAATAATCTGAAATTTCGATTCATTGTTAAGAACAGATGATATGATGAGATATTTTGAGATATATCTGATGAGATATTCTGGATAATTGACTAGAAATTTATAAAAGTGGAAGGGAAGATACAAAATACCTGATTTTGCATGCCAAATTTATCTTTTACTCATTTGACTAGTAACATTATCATTATCATATTTAGTAACATTATAACATTATCTAGTAATATTATCAACTAATAACATTAACTATTGCATAAGAATGGGAAAAGAGTTTTTTATCTTAGCTAATTTAAATGAAAATTTGCATTGATAGACTAAAGAAAATGACAAACACTGAAATATATCAAATATATCAACGAAATATATCAACGATTTAACTCTTCTGCTGTAACAAACACGAATAACTGAGGTAATTCAACATAACACAGCAATTCATAGTTGAAATTTTATACATTTAAGAAAGCTGAATCAGAAATTTCAATAATTTTCTACCAATTTATTTAGCAGTACTTGATGAGATATTCTGGATACAAAAATGGAAGAGAAGATACAAAATACCTGATTTTGCATGCCAAATTTAACTTTTACTCATTTCCTTGATAATATTAAAACTTAAAGCATAGTATGTATTAACATTTAGGTGCTCATAATACAATTTATAATTTCAAGATAAACTCATTTCGTGATATGATTTATTACTGTAATTGGAAGGTTGAAGTTCATCTCCTTTTATTACCCTTTCTACCGTTTCATTACTTTTCTGGGCCAAATAGTGAGCTTTCCATAGCAGTCAATGATTCATACTTATTTTATGGTTACTGAATAGTTAAAAACAGCTCGAATTTGCAAAATTTTTGCAGTTTCCTGCTGACTAACTTTGATTATTTTCCTTTTCGTCCATGTGAACAGGTGCAGTTCAATGGTTCTGAGGGCAACTATTCGGTTGACACATTCAGTGTTGCAAATTAATTGGGAACACACTTGAAAATAGTTTCGCTCCAGCAATGTTCATCAAATTCGGAGCAAAATCATGCAAATATAGTGGATGATTGACGAAATCTATGAAACTTTAGAGGTATTTCCTTCCGGGGAATAGCTTCTGGATTATTGACTCTAGAAATGATATCAGGGTATATAGAACGCGGGAACGATGGTGACGAAGAATGAAATGATTAAGGGGAAGCTGCAGCTCCGCCTCAAAACAAAAATGAAACTGGAACGACCACCCCCAACGGTGTCTTTGAAGTTGCTTCGATGCAGGTTTCCTGACTGTTCCTGCTCTCTTCCTGCAACACGACCATGTAACATGTGATGATAATGTAATGATGGTGGTGATGATGAGGATGCAGTGCTGAATATTCTGGTCGACAAGACATACGGACACGGATATATACCAATAGTATGAATACTAGACAGATCGGAAAGAAGGACGTTAGGCCAAAGGCCGAGATATATTTTTGTCTGTCTGTATGTGTCTATATGTAATTTCTATTGAATTTGTAGATTCCAGCTCTTTTTTTACTGGTACCTCGGTTCCTGTACCCGTCGTCGAAGAACAGGCTGCTATTAATCTTTGGAAAAATGTGCAAAATAACTGTACAATGAAAAGCCTAAACAGCTCAATTCAGGATATTAAAGCACTCGCATTTGCAGTTTATGCAACTCTGCCATAAATCTCTCACTACCACGCCTTCATAAATCGTATATCAATGCGATCCATCGATTGAAATCATTATTTTTTAGCAGATTGTAAGAAGACAATGCAAAATAATTTATTACAACAATCAAGTGCATGTAATCTACAAGAGCCATACAACGTTCTTCAGTTCTTTCCTGTCAAATGATATGTCTTTGTGATATGACATGAAGTATCTCAGTATATCCCAGAGGTGGCCAAAAATGTATATTAATGACTAGAGAGCCTAAACACGTAGGTGCCGAAGCTCCCGAGATAATCTATGGATTTTTCATCCACAGCATTTGCAACTGCAGTTTTGTACAACCGTACAATCGCAATGTGGTATATATATATATATATATATATATATATATATATATATATATATATATATATATATATATATATATATATATATATATATATATATA